GACCTTAAAAGCCCAAAATCCACCATATATCACAACATAGTAGTGAGGTTGATTGGTGGCATCATTCCCTTTTCAAAAAGGCATCATACGCCCCAATCGAAGTTCATAAGCCAAATTTGTAAATTCCTACTGCGTCATTTTTCCATTCTTCACTCAAATTCTTCTTCAATCCATTCAACCATTTGTTCTCCATCATTCATGTTTGTATTCAACATAAGATGTGCCGTGTCTGTTAGGATTTATGGTTGCTGATGTACATTTTTTGGGGTCAACGTTTGTAGTGTTTTATGGGTTTTGTATATTTTTTAATGCTATATTTGTGATTGACATAATAAAATTCATAGCTGCATTACTCAAATGGAGTCTAAAAATACACAATAAGTAAATGAAAAAGGGAAGAGCAAACAAGATTATAATGCTTGGAGTACGGAAGAAAGTAGAATGTTGTTGCAACTCATGGTTGATGCTGCAAGCCGTGGATGTTGTGATGCTAATGGAATGCTAAGCAAGGCAACTGTAAAAACCAAAATACTCCCCAAGATTAATGAAAAACTTAGGTGTCACAAAACCTATTCTCAATACCAGAGTCAGTTGAAGTACTTTAAAAGAGAATACCAAAAATATTCACAACTTCTCCGTCACAACTCTGGGTTTGGGTGAGATTATATTTATTTTCCTTAAACTTTTCTTTCAAAATTGTAATACATATGTCACTATATTTCTTATAAATTTTGCTTCTCGTTAAACATAATTTTATTTCATGTTGTTGAAGGAAAAGATATGATGAATTTGGCTTTTTATTTCATGTTGTTTAAAATTTTATTTCATGTTGGTACAAATCAAGTATCAAATCATCTCCAAAAATTGGATCACCATTAGATACATTGACAACAACGGGTGGGTTTACATTCTTTATCGTATTCTCTGGTCAAGTTATAAGTAAAAATATTTTCATGTGTAGCTTGATCAGTTCACAATTGCATATCATTTTGTACCCTTCTAGCTTATGATTTGGTTATGTTATTGAGTCAAACTTGTGCTTTTAATCCCTTTTTTGTTTATCATTCAGTTCATTGGGCCTTAGGTAGCAATGGTGCCTTTGGATAAGAAAAGATGCAAAATGGTGCAAAAACGAGCTGACTGAGTTAGCAACTCATTTCGGCTTTAGCGTTTTTCTCCCAACTTGGATTGGCCCAAATAATATTTGGAAAGATGAGAGTCTGAACTTCAAAATGTACTACTCAAATGTATCAATTGATTAAATCGACTCCAATCCGTGGACCCATCAAAATACACATCAAATCAGCCACACATGAGAGACAAGATAGCATGGAAACTTAGAAGGATGGACATCTGACATTCCTAGAGGCATGGGCTATACATCAAATCAGCCACACATGGGAGACAATGCAGCATGGGAACCTAATGGGCAGCTTAGGCAATTGAGAATAGGAATGGCTGTGCTTCACCAGCCAATGGGGGAGCACGAATTTGCACTCTATAAATAGAGTGATGCACACTCATTCAAAGAAATGTCACTCCATTCAGCCTAAAATTCACTTCAGCCATCCTCTAACACTCCCATCCTTCCCCAAACACTCCATTCAGTCCCAAATCACCAAAACAGCTCCAACAAGCCTTCCTTCCATTTCCCTACGAATTTCCTCTTTCTCTGCCATCACCACTCACCCAAACTCATCCCAAATCACCTCTTTAGTTTCCATACTCTAGATGTGAGGAAGGTCTTGGAGCAGCATTAGGTGTGGAGAAGCACTTGGAGAAGCCTTGGACACCACAAGTAACTTCAGAAATGGGTTTTTCCACTCTTATTACATTCATTATGTTTTCTCATTTCTGTTTAAGTTTCATTTCCATTATGAGTAGCTAAATTCATAACTAGGACTTCGATGTAACCTAACATGAATATTCTGGGTTTATAAGTTGAAGTTTTGAGTTTCAAGTTTGATTCATGATTCATGTTCTTATTCATTATGCTTATCAGTTAATATGCTTGTTTGCATGATTGATCACCATTAGAACTTGTACATTAGCTATCTTGGTTTGAATCAAGAGTAGACACCATGCTTTTAGTCGAATTAAACTATGAATAAGAAAAGTATGTATGGACATTCAACAATAGGGATTAGATACATGCTTGGTTGTTTAAATTGTTCTTCTATGCTTAATGGGTTCCTAATGCTTAATTTAGGTTAGACAATAAATGATCAAATTAGAGAATTAGGAACACAAGGTTAGGACCAGACACCATGGCCTAATCATACTTTAGCTAGAATCAATCTTTGAATCCGAATTAGACTTGTCACTTGACTCCTTATAACCCAGAATTGAATTGTTATGGTGAATCGAATGCCCTAGTCTCCCAATCTGTTTTCCAGCCCACAAAAACACTCTTTGTTACATTTGCTCACTTTGCTTTTGTTTGAAATTTCGTTTTGCCTCATTTGTTCAACAATTACAATCACTCTTGCTTTAAATTCTATTTTAGACTTAACCTCCTACTTTCTTGAATTTGGTAATCTAAGTACATAACTAATTTTAACTTCTCAGTTCTCGTGAGTACGACCTCGTACTAGTCTTGCTATATTGCTAATTGGCCTGTACAATTGCGAGTTAATATTTTAACAACATAGCTGATTCTGATAGAAAGCTAACTTGTTACGTGTATTACTAACAGAGACATTGATAGGGAGGAGTTTAATAAAGTCATGACTTTGATGAGATCTCAATTTTGAGATCTTGAAATGACAACTACTTTTAGTACTAAATGAGCATACCCTTTCAGACCAAAAAAATAAAAAAATAAAAAATATGAGCATACCCTAAAGCATGTATAGCTGCCGAATTATAATTGGAGGGAAAAACAACTAATCCAAACAGCAAAACGAACAAATCATATTATTTCATGTTTTTTATGAAATAAATATGCACATTAGTGTTCAATAATGCTAGAGGCACAACATAGTATACATAGGCATATAAACCGATAAATCGATCCACATCCGATAAGCATTCGATTAGGATGATATTGATTCATTTTCAGACTTACAGAAAACAAATAATAATAATGAAAAACCTCACTAGACTTTCTTTTTATTACTTTAAGTGTATTCTCAATTCATATAAAACACACACACACACACACACACACACACACTGTGCACACCCGCATCCATCTAGCACGAGGCCTTTTGGGAGCTCACTGGCTTCGGATTCTTAGGAACTCCGAAGTTAAGCAAGTTGGGGGCTAGAGCAATCTCAGGATGGGTGACCCACTGGAAAGTTGCTCGTGAGCTCCCAGAAACAAAACCGTGAGGGCAGAGAGGGGGCCCCAAAGCGGACAATATCGTGCTAGGGGAATCGGGTCGTGACAGCAGCTCCATGTTTGTTAAACAATATTTTTAAAAGTGCTGTTAGTACAAAAAGCAGTGTCAAAACTGTTTGGTAAATTTTAATATAAAATTGTTGTATGAGGGTGGAGTTGGTGGTTGTGGTAGTAGTGGTGGTGGTGGTAGTGGCAGCATGGTGGTGATTGTGGTGTTGGTTGTAGAGGTGGTAGTGGATGTTGAGGTTTTGGAAGAGGAGGTGGTTGTGGTGGTAGTGGTGGTGGTGGTCGAGGTGGAGGTGGAGGTGGAGGAGGTGGTGGTTGTGGTGGTGGTGGCGGAGGATGAGGAGGAGAAGGATGTGGTGGTGGTGGTGAAGGTAGTGAATGTGGTGGTGCAAGTCGTGGAGTTGGATGTGGAAGTGGAGATGGTGTCATTTTTTAAAATGAATGATGGTATTTTGGGAATGAAAAAAAAATCATTAAAAGTTCATCTCTGCTTCTTTTGAAAGCAGCTTTGAAAAACAACCCAGAGTCTGTTTTTAAAAGCTGCTGTCAAAAGGCCACTGCTTTTAAAATAATCGGGATATTTTATTTTTACCAAACACCTTAAACTGCTTAACTTTAAAGTGAAGCAGGTTTTTGGCCAAAAAAAGCAATCCCAAACGGGGCCTAAGCAAGATAGGAGAAGAGACTTTTGAAGTAACGTACAATCAATTAGCAAACCAACTAGAAGCAAAAGATGATGACAACTTATACTGAAATAATTTAGCAGAAGAAGAGATCCACAATATCGAGAACATGATGGAAGCGTAAGAAAAACAAAAATCTTCCAACAACACAAGCTTCCATAATAAAAGCAGTAATAGCAACACCAATCCACGTTAACCATATCATCGAAATAGCCATAATAGAAGTAGTAGAAGCAACAACTGTCCATCATTTGCGTAGTATCAAAATTTACAAAAGAAAGTGGGACCATGTTTGACACTATACAGAAAGCAAAGAGGAAAATGTTCCTTGTCACCATCTAAAATGCAAAAGTAGACTTCCAAAGCAATCTACAAAATGAATAAGGGCATTATTGTTCAACCACTATAAAATACGTCCTTATATAATATTACACACCAAACTTGTTCTAAAAGTTTATAATATAATGATTCCATAATTATTTAAATTTCCCATTCAAATGTTTTTTTACTAACTTTTTTCTCTCACTTCCCTCTGTACTCTCCCCTCTCTTTTATGACCATGATTTTTCATTTTTAAGTTTTCTAAAATTACAAACTAGAGGAGGGCAAAATAGAAAACAAGGAATGGAAACTTTGACATAAAAGAAAAAGGAAGTGTAGAAATTGCGGAATGTTTTTGTTGTAAAAGTTGGGTTAGATAGAAGGAGTGGGACCAAAGAGACCGTCTGATGGCAAATTTGCCCCTGAAAAAATGCTTTGCTGGCAACATAAATCATTACACTTCGGTCTTTCATTGGCCAACATTAAACACTTCGGATTATACAAAATAGGGGCAAAAAACATATAAAACAAAGCAGACAGGGACCGAAAAGAAAAAAAGATAAAAGTGAGATGCAAAGCATACATAAACCGCAAAAAGCGCGTCAAATAATCCGCTGATTATATTATTTGCTCTGTTGTTTGTCACTGCCAGTGTCCTTTCTTGAAGCCCACACACACACACACAAACTCTCTCTCTCTCTCTCTCTCTGCGCGCAAAACACACTCTCTCTGAGCTCTTGCTCAGATCCAGGTTTGTCTCCTCTTCATTCTCTTAAGCTTCCAATACCTCTGTTTGAAGTAACTTTGGGATTTAGATATAAGCTTCTGCTTCTGCTTCTGTTTGGTCTCTGAGAAAAGAAGAGAAAAAAGAAAAACAGTATTTACACATTTCTGGGTTTAGTGTTTTGGGGCTGTTTTGATCTTTCCAGATTGAAGTACTAAGCTCAAGTACTTTAGTTTTCTTGGGTTAAATAGGAATACTAAGATTCGAAGTTTATATTAGTTTTCTTAGCCATTTTTTCATGTTTTCAGCTACCAGACAAAAATTTAGTGTATTTATGTGCGTGTGCTGGATAGATAAGTACATGAATTTTTTCCACTTTCAGTTTAGTGGTGATTGGTTTTCTAATAATGTAGATTTTCTTTCACATTCAAGTTATTGTTTTTATTATTTATTTTTATAGGTTGAGATTTATTTTTTTAATATATCTCTTTCTTTTTTCAATTTCTAAGGGTTCTTATATGATAATATTTCTATTTTGAGGTTTAAGAAGCAGTCTCCTTCGTGATGTCAATTTGGTTGCTGAGAAGAAACTATAGAAATAAGGAAAAACATTTTAGTATTTCCTTCTGGCGTCTTAAAAATGAAAAGGTTTCGCACTTAATTGTGTATTTCCATTTTTCCATTTTGGATTTCTCATCCAAGAAATTTAAAAAAGAATCAACCCAAATTAACTTTCAATGACAAAATGCCTATTTGGAAAGGTTTTTGAAGAAAAGTAGTTGTTGCCAGTGAGGTTTTTCCAATATTCTGTAAACCCCAATGGCTTTCAATTCCAAAATCAAATTCGGCCTTAAATATAAAAATAAACTGATTTGGGTTGGGGGGTTGTCTTTCTAGTTAGTATGTAGTGACTTTCTGTTCCCACAGTTTGAACATAACATATAGTGGTTATGGTGGGTGTTTTTGATGCAGGATTCCACAGAACAGGGTGTTTTTGACAAGTATTGAGAATTATGTTGGCACGGTAGTTATGCAAGTTTGTTGCTGATCATAAGTTATTGTAGAATGACTTGAAGTTTTGTAATCTTGGAGAAGATAATGGAAGAAATACAATCACAAGCAGATAATTATAGGTCTTCCTCGTCTTCAGCAAGCAGTCCAGCAAGCAGGGTGCCCTCAAGTAATTTTTTCTACTTGCGAAAACCTGGCTCACTCAGACAACCCATCTCATTCGAAGATTCACCTGAATGGGAGGATACAGACATTGATGTTAGGGTGGAGGAAGGAGGTGACTCTATCAACATTGCAACCACACCGGTCTCCCCATCTCTTTCAAAACTCAATAGTGGGTCTTTGCCATCCCCACCATTACCAGAGGGTGCAACTGCAGTAAGAAAGATTGCAGGGGCTTCAGTTGTGTGGAAAGATTTGACTGTTACAATTAAGGGGAAAAGAAAGTACTCTGACAAGGTTGTGAAGAGTTCAAATGGTTATGCATTGCCAGGAACTATAACAGTAATTATGGGTCCTGCTAAATCGGGGAAGTCTACGCTACTAAGGGCAATTGCAGGTCTTCAAGCATGCACTTCTACTACTAAATTACTAATTGCTTATTTAGAATTTTTCCTTCTCTTATCATGGGATGTTTGAGTGCTAACTGTTGTTTGTTTCCCTTGCTTTAGGAAGATTGCCTCACTCAGCCAGAATGTATGGTGAGGTGTTTGTGAATGGTGCAAAATCGCACATGCCGTATGGTTCATATGTAAGTTCCAAGTAACCACAGCATTTTGTTCAGTATTTTATGTAGTTTTCAGCTCATGCATTCTTTTAATGCTTCCCAACTATTACCCAATTAATCCTGAGTTTTGTTTAAGAGATTATTTTGTTTGTCATGAGTCTGTGTCCTTATTGTTCCTCTTATCATCTTTCTGCAATTTCTGTTACATTCTCACACGAATGGGGTGATTTGTATAAGAAAAGCTTATTCAAGTGATTATATTAGCCTATGCTCTCAAATTAGTTTCATCGCGATAGAATTTCAATTGTTTAACCTTAGTCACTGTGACATGTGCTTTTCTTCAAAAAGTTGTTTGTTTGTTTTGTTTTTTTTTCAAAGGGGGTGTGTACAAGGTCTTTTTTTCTCTCTCTAGGGTTTAACTCTGTGTCTGTGATTCCAGCTTCATGGTTATTAATCCAATTTGCAGGGTTTTGTTGAGAGGGAAATCACTCTAATTGGATCCCTCACTGTCCGGGAGTTTCTGTATTACTCAGCGCTGCATGCCATCCATGCCATGTCACTGGATGACTGTTCAAACAAATTGATTGGTGGTTACTGTTATATGAAGGGCCTTTCAAATGGCGAGAGAAGGCGTGTTAGCATTGCCCGGGAGCTTGTGATGAGGCCTCATATTTTATTCATAGACGAGCCTCTTTATCATCTTGATAGGTAAACTTCATTTTGTTAGATTTAAAATTTTAAAAATGGCCTTGTGATAACTGCACTCCATGGGTTTTTAACACCATGGTTGACATGTAGCACTGTTTTGTGTGCAACCATAAGCAAGCATATATTTCCCATGGGAGCATTCCCGACTAAAACTCATGTTTCTATGATTGTCCTTGAACTCTCTCAGTTTCTTTGCATTACATGTTTGCCAAGCAATCGCAACTGGCCTGAGATTTTGAAAATTTGATATTGTAATGAATTTACTTGATGAATTTTTTTTCCGAGAATGAGTTGGTTTAACATTATAACTGATATAATGTGCAATTATTGCTGCATTGTTTCCTGAGGGATCTGCAGTGAAATTAAAAGTTTTTGTTTAGTCCTTCATATGTATATTGCTCACCACAGTGACTGCATGCTCACGAACGATTTTCTTTCTATTGGAATATATTTGCTTCCTTGTAGTACCATATCTAAAGTGCTTTTGTTTTGTTCAGTGTCTCTGCACTTCTGATGATGGTAACATTGAAGAAACTAGCAAGTACAGGTTGTGCTATTATATTTACCATTTATCAGAGCAGCACAGAAGTATTTGGCCTTTTTGATCGGATATGTCTGCTTTCAAATGGAAATACTCTATTTTTTGGAGAAACATTGGCTTGCTTACAGGTAAGTGATATGTAAATATGTCTGTTTTGTCGTACTTCTATCCGCTTGTGCATCAAATATTTAATTCTGGACTTGCTGACCCTACAATATATGAGTCATGCAAATTTTGATCAGGTGCTGTTTTCTTGTTGTTAGTGTTTGTATGTTTCATCTGGTTGCCATATTGAAAGAGAGAAGAATTTTTTTGAAGGAAGAAGGAGAGAAGAATTTAAGAAACAACTTATGTTTTAAAAATTAGAACTTTAAAAGCTAATTTTTGGAAGCTAATTGGAGCTTCGTAGGTAATTGCTAACTAACATACCTTATGTTGATGAAGCACTTCTCAAATGCTGGATTTCCTTGTCCGATTATGCAAAGTCCTTCTGATCACTTTTTACGCGCAATAAATACAGATTTCGACAAGATCATTGCAATGTGCAAAAATTGGCAGGTAAATACTTGGGGATTGCAGTTTTTTCTGATTCCCATTGCATAAAGTGTATTGAAGATTCTTTAATTCTTGCTCTATAATTTTCCATTAGAAAAATATTTTCAAAGTTGTTGAGCCACATGTTTTGATTTTGAATTAGAGGTGGAACGATGTGTAACAATATTTGTGGGCCAATATGTCTTAGACTTTAGCAGGACATTTACATTATTACTTTGTTTAACATATGCTTTGCATGGACTGCAACATGATGGCAGGATGACAATGGTGATTTTTCATCAGTGAACATGGATACAGCTGTGGCAATACGTACCCTTGAAGCAACTTATAAATCATCAGCTGATGCTGCTGCAGTTGAAACTATGATATTGAGACTTACGGAGAAGGTATAAGTTTGATATGCTCGTATCTATACACCATAAATCCTGGGGGCGTCCATGAGTGGGCAGCTGTGCTATTCTGCATCATAACTGGAAGTTTCATTTTTGCATGTTGGGTTCCATAACTTCGGTGATATATTTGTATAGGTTAGCTTCTGTAATTTTCTTAACTCCCAATGTGCATTTGCTTCTATAGGAAGGTCCAGTACTTAAAAGCAAGGGAAAGGCTGGAACTGCTACACGAATTGCAGTTTTAACTTGGAGATCATTATTAATAATGTCAAGGGAATGGAAATACTACTGGCTTCGTCTTATTCTTTATATGATTTTTACACTCTCCGTTGGTACAGTATTTTCTGGCTCAGGGCACTCTTTGTCTTCAGTTGTGGTGAGTTACATAACATCACTTTTTTCAATCATTTAGACAAAACAATAAAAATAAAAATTGCACATTTTGGAAAACATTTCCAGTTTTACATTTCATGAATGATCACTTTCTTAGTTGAACATCTACTGTTTATTGGAAGGCTACTGCGACTAGTAATCTTTTTTCCTCCAACAAGACTTATCACTTCTGAATTCCTACTTCTTTTCATTTTTCTGTAGCAAAATAGCTAAAATGTGTGTATCATAATAACCAAAATGGTTTGACCAAAAAAAAAAAAATCACCAAAATGGTTACGTCTTCTGTACTGCTTTATTTTATGATCAGTCAGTTTAATTTTATTAAATATAGCCTCCATATCGCCTACCGGCATTGTTGTTTGATCCCAAAGAAATTTTTTATTTAAGGAGATGCCTTACTCACATAAGCTAGAATTCAGTTCATATTTGAGTTAAATATAAAAATAGTCAGTTTATCCGGAAGGAGATTTTAAATAAGGGTGATGTGTGATAGCCATCAATAGTAGTCATTATGTGATTAGGTTGGATTTATTCAAATAACTTAGACTAATTAAGGACGCCAAAGTTAAAATATAACAGGTTTTTGAAATGAGAAGTCAACTCCTTAGAATTCAATACGTAGCAAGTATCTACTTTGAATACTCTTTTTTGGACTATGTTTCATGTGCCATAGTTTTTCAACTTTCAGCTTCCCAGAAGCCAATTGTGTTGTAGCTTGTCACCTGCAAGGCTTCCTATAGGAAAATCAGATGCTATAAGGAAAATCACAATGGCGGATTTGATGGATCACTCTGCTTATAAACCTCCACTGGATATCAGCTGCATGACATTAGCACCCAAATAAGAATTTTTAACAAAATCTGTTCATGGTTTTTCTTAATTAATGATGAAGGTTTTACGTCAAGCATAAAATAATTACTCTTCAAGTCTGATTTTGGAAAATGTTCTTGTTGCTTACCGTCTTTATTTAGATGCATTTGCAAAACTTGTTTCTTTGTGTGGTAATCGAGTTGACTTTGTTTTTTTTCACCTTCCATGTGCCGAGAAGAGTTGCAGCAACGTATTATTTGTTTCTTCACTGCACTACTAAACACTGCTGGAGTAGTTTTATACTAAGTTCTACAGTATAAAACTGTAATAATAAAATCTGTTCACTGATTTTCTTTATAATGCTAAACCTTTTATGTCAAACGTAAGATACGTACTTGTTGAAGTCTGCTTCAGGAAAATGTTGCTGCTTGTCTTCCCCTCATGCACCCACATTATTTGTTATCTTGTGTGGCATCTGAGTCACTTTCTTCTTTGTTCAACTTTTATATGCAGACAAAAGTTGCAGCAATATTTGTATTTGTTTCATTTACTGCGCTACTAAGCATTTCTGGAGTACCTGCAGTTATAAAAGAAGTCGAGGTAACCCTGATTGTATTCTTTCTCAAAAGTTGACTTGAAGAAGCATTGAAATTTCCCAAGTTATGATTAATATAGTGCTAACATCTGTACATAATTATATGAATTATGTGTATTATGGTTTGTTAAGGAAGAACCCCAGATCTTGTGCTGGTTTTTCTTGGCAATCTAGTCTTCGGTGATTAATCCTGTAAAAGATTGATCTCTCTTTTTAAACTTTGGCAGCTTTAAAGACATTTCATCAATTTAGGACAATGATATTGGTATACTAATGACCCGTGAGTTGTGGTCCAGTGGTTGGGGGACTTGTTGCGGAACCGCCTGATTGGGGTTCGAAACTCACTGAGGTACCTGTCTAGCAATTTATTGCTAGAGTTTGGAAGATGAGTCATCTTCCAAACTGGGGACTACCTATCTAGCACTTTGTCAGTTTGGAAGATGAGTCAGCAAAGCTGACAAAGTGGAACCCACATTATTTGTTATCTTGTGTGGCATCTGAGTCACTTTCTTCTTTGTTCAACTTTTATATGCAGACAAAAGTTGCAGCAATATTTGTATTTGTTTCATTTACTGCGCTACTAAGCATTTCTGGAGTACCTGCAGTTATAAAAGAAGTCGAGGTAACCCTGATTGTATTCTTTCTCAAAAGTTGACTTGAAGAAGCATTGAAATTTCCCAAGTTATGATTAATATAGTGCTAACATCTGTACATAATTATATGAATTATGTGTATTATGGTTTGTTAAGGAAGAACCCCAGATCTTGTGCTGGTTTTTCTTGGCAATCTAGTCTTCGGTGATTAATCCTGTAAAAGATTGATCTCTCTTTTTAAACTTTGGCAGCTTTAAAGACATTTCATCAATTTAGGACAATGATATTGGTATACTAATGACCCGTGAGTTGTGGTCCAGTGGTTGGGGGACTTGTTGCGGAACCGCCTGATTGGGGTTCGAAACTCACTGAGGTACCTGTCTAGCAATTTATTGCTAGAGTTTGGAAGATGAGTCATCTTCCAAACTGGGGACTACCTATCTAGCACTTTGTCAGTTTGGAAGATGAGTCAGCAAAGCTGACAAAGGGGGTTTTGGGTTAAAAAAAAAAAAAAAAAAAAAAAAAAAAGGTATACTAATGCCACTTTAAGTGACTGGTTTTCTCAAGGAAATAATAGACAAGCATACAAACTAACATTAGCTGTTGGACTGTGATTAAGTCTTCCAGGCTCACGTATAAGATCCCTCTGCCTCTTCATGATCACGTGCAAACTGGGGCATGGTTATTCAATACATCAATTCCCTGAAATGCAGAGGTGGAATGGCTTTATATGAGTCTTTCAATATATTTTTAACAGAACATATGAACTGCATGGTTCCAAAGATACGAAAGTAGTCTAGAAAAAACAAAAATGAAAAACCTGTTAAGCTTACGCATTATTTTTAATAGGACATTCTGATAAGTAATGTAATGTTGTGTTCATTTTCTTGATTCTTCTGATCAAACTGATTATGAATTCTGCAGGTATACACAAGTGAAGAATCAAACCACCATTTGGGGGCACTAATCTTTTTGTTTGGGCAGCTTCTCTCTAGCATCCCATTCCTGTTTCTCATCTCCATTCCATCAAGTGTCGTCTTCTATTTCCTTATAGGATTGCGAGATGAGTTCAGCTTGTTAATGTACTTCATGCTGAATTTCTTCATGTGCCTCTTGGTAAATGATGGATTAATGCTGGTTGTTGTTTCTTTGTCGCGAGATGTTTTCTGGAGCTCCCTGACTCTGGTATCTGTACAAGTAAGTCCCTCTATCTCAATTCAAAGAATATACTTGAAGTTTCCAATGTCAGCATGTTCAGCGTTGACTCATCTGCAACCCAACAATAACTTTTACATTTATTCATGTCATACTGCTTTTGCCTGCTCGAAGATAGTTTAATTTTGTATGGACTTGAATAAATACTACTGTGAAACCAAAACCTAGATTGTGTATCACAAAATACATGGCACTTGTGGTGTTTTGCGACATGGTGTGTGATAAAAGTGACTCATGTAACATATTAGTGAACTATTATCCATCTGCTGTTCTTCTGGTCATGATTGGTAGCTGGTATAAGTTATAATCAATTTCCTAGCTTTCGCTAATCTTACAGTGAATATGTGTGAAATTTCAGGTGGTAATGATGCTATCTGCGGGGTATTTCAGAATTCGAAATGCTTTGCCTGGGCCAGTGTGGACATATCCAATATCCTATATTGCTTTCCATGCGTACTCTATACAGGCAAGAGAATTTACAATGTCATTTGCAATTTTTTTTTCCTCTCTGCATAACAATGCTAAAAAACTGTTCTCAGGGAACTTGGTTCAGTTTCAAATCTCTCGAATTTTGTGACAAAGGAAAAAAGCATTTCAGAGTCTTCTTCACATTCGAAATTCATATATTTCATATTCTGGAACTAGTTGGCTAATTTTAACCTCTCTTACTGAAGGTTTTTAATCTGTTGACTACATGATATAGGGGCTGTTGGAGAATGAGTACATAGGGACTTCCTTTGCAGTTGGGCAGGTAAGGACCATATCTGGGTATCAGGCACTTCGTAGTGCATACGACATCTCTCCGGACAAAAATTCCAAGTGGCAAAATTTATTGATCTTATTTCTAATGGCAGTTGGGTATCGTATTCTCGTCTTTGTTGTACTGTACTTCCGTGTTGGGAAAAAAAAATCTTTACATAACATTTTCAAGTGTAATCGGGATACAACAAACAATGCAAGATGAATGAAGTCGCCACTTGCAATGAGTGTTGTTTGGCCGTCACATTTTTGTAATTCCCTGTTGTCCTTAGGCAAGTGCAATTTTGCTGTGAGAACCTGCTTATGATCTATGAAATGATAAAGTGCATATTTTAGGGAGCTTTTGCTGATTATTTCTTTTGTTGCAAACTTCTTGGAGCCCTTTCTTCCTTGATATTCTAAATTTTTACAGAGCTGAGATCTGCAGTTCATGCCTTTTTTCATCCTAAGTTAATGTGAGAGGAGAATCACCTTCGCAGTAACTTCTTGCGGTTGGAAAAAAGTTGTATATAGGCAAGGCAAGTAAGTTGTAACCCTACACATTTTGAAGAAAAAACAAAAATAGATGCAAACTTCATTTACGTAGGAGTATATACAATATGTATTTCACTATCTATTTTAAGACTGCCAAACATTTAGCTACTTATAAACAAAGCCATAGGAGTAAGTACGTAGTATGTACAGGAAAAAAACGAAGGTTCCTTTGGAAATAAAAAAGTTTCATCTTTTGGGCCATAGAGGCCCATATTTACAGTCACATCTTGGCTTTTAGGGCCTTGATAAAATTGTCCATATTTTTCTCTGATGATCCATTGGGTGTCGATGCATCCTCCAATGTCTTCTTGACCTTGACAACTGCTTTCCTGTATTCATCCCTTGATTTTCCATCCATCAAGCGGTTGATTTTCTCCGAAACTTCCTCTTTACTGACAGCCCTTCGATCGCATAAGTTGATCCCAATCTTCCAATCGTCAACCACTAATTTTCTATTGGTGAATTGATCAGTAAGCAAGGGGAAACACAACATTGGGACACTACACCAAATACTTTCCAACGTTGAGTTCCATCCACAGTGAGTCAAGAACCCTCCGATAGCCGGGTGGGCCAGTACCGCCTTCTGAGAGCACCAAGGTATGACGATGGCCCGGTCCTTAACCTGCTCTCTAAAGCCTGCGGGCAACGGTTCAGTGTCATTTGAGCTCACGATATCGGGCCGAAGCACCCAAACAAAGTTCACTTTGCTAAGCAGAAGCCCATTAGCAATCTCTATCAGGTCCTTTTTGGAAACATGAGCATAGCTACCAAATGAGACATACAAGACCGAGCCCTGGGGCCTGGTGTTGAGCCACTGGGTGCAGTCTGATTCGGACCACAGGCTCGTAGCCACTATATTCTTGTTGAATTTAGAAGGGAAAATGGGTCCAATGGCATAGAATGGCGTCTTGGATTGCAGGGCTGATATGGTCTCGGCCTCAATCTCCTGCACTGTGTTGCACAGATGGAAATGTGCACCTCTGGCGTCCTTGAATGCATTGAAAATGATGTGGTGGCACACAGATGTTGTATCAGTCTCCTGCAGAAATGACGTCATGTCCTTTGGTTCGATTGCTCGCACTCCTGGTACGTAATCTATGGTGTCCTCGCGCACATCTAATCACAAGAAAACCAAAATCATATATGTATCTTAGTAATTTATAAACAAAGACGAGATTTTAATCCGCATCTACTGCATTGCTAGTATATTCATCATAAATGCGAAACCCATGTAGACTTTGCTACGTTTCTGGTCTCCCGTAGAATCTAACTATTGCTAATAGAGATATGATTGTCGTACACATGATGCAAATATTTTTTGGCTAGATTATGCATATGTTGTCAGAATATGAATGCTTTTGTGAGTCATATAATTTTTGTTCAAGTGCACGCATAACATTTCATATACATAGCAAAAGGACAAATATATTTAATGTTTGTTTGCTAAATTAATACGTCAAATTATCAGGCTATAATCTAGACACCACACATTCAAACAAGAATTCGCTTCACAAAGGATATCGAGTCTGACCAATATGTCAAATGTCTATCCAATTAATGGTCTAGATGGATAAGGTGACAACATTTAGGTATCATTATCCTATTAATAGCAGCAGCTTACCCTGACATGCAAAATGGCCATTCTTTCGAAGAAGATCAAGATGATAATACAAAGTGAAAACCAAAGCAGGTTCTGTCCAAAAAGAAACATAAAGCAGCCCAAACTTCTTGGCAATCTTGGACGGCCACACGAAGAACGTGTCAGCTATTATGCAAGTAACCGGTGTAGTGTCAGCCGAAAACTTAACAACCCTTCCCACGACCTCCTCCGCGTGGGCTGAAAACACATGTAACAAAGATGCCATGAACTGGTCATGGTTGAGGGACCGGTCGAACTCGAGGGGGAGTCCATCTGAGACCGTAGCGTAGTCTATGTCGAGCCCAGAGGACTCACGTACGTAGGCAAAGGGATCGCTGCCGGAGTCTGGTTGGGCTTTGGAGGTTTGGTGGTGGATGGAGTGGGTGTTGATGAAGGTGATCTTGAAGCCACGTGAGGCAAGCTTGATGGCTAGATGGACAGATGGGATTACATGGCCTTGGAGAGGGTAGGCGATGAAGATGGCGTGAGGGCGCTTTTGGTGATGGGTATTATGAACCGAGTCTGCCATTAACGCATGAATTAAAGATGAGTTGCAAAGAGAGAGAAAGAG